GGAGGAGGAGACGATCGTCAGAAGAAAATTATAGGGATCGCCCGCCGCCGAAAACGATTGGAATAATATAGATCGCACTCCGGGAAATAGTCACGCCGATAGTTCGTTTCGCGTTTTTTACAACAATAATATTCGTAAAAAAACGATTACAGTATTATTGGCACCCGTGGGCGGTCACGAAACGGAGTTTATAATTTTATACGATATTCGTCGTCGATCGGTTGTGCGTAGATCTCGGTTTCAAATAAAACAAAAAAAATATGTATTTATAAACGCTCCAGGTGCGATTATATTATTATTGTTATACCAGATACCTAATAGCTACCGGTATTGCGCGAGTAACCGAGATCAAGGTTATGGCGGCGGTTACGATCACGACGCGCCCGAGGAACATGCGAGTTCGTGTGGTGTTGACTCCGTTCAAGGATTTATCATTCCGAACGAATCGAAATCGAAAGTGGATCGAACTGGGTTATTCGTGCCAACTGGGTTAGTGCATGTTATTATCGTTGTACATGCCTACACGTCATAATATTGCAAATCATACGAGTGGGCAACGTAACGATTGCGATTACGCTCAAGTAAAAAAAAAAAAAGGAAACGAAACAAATTATTCCATTCGTTTGCGATTGATACCTGCCTAGGTATAGATATAGCTGTAGATATAGTCATTACACTGAATAAATACATCAGAATGGACGCTGATAAGGGACCATGCGAGAAGCATACTAGGGAAATCCTGTAAACGAATTCGTTTTTTTTTCTTTTTTTTGAGGATACGACCTATGACCATTATACATCCACGGAGTGTTTTTTTTAATAATGCTCACCCCCTGTAATATTACGTTTATTCCAATTCTGATTTCGAAATTTCTGATGTTTTTTGTACTACTTGAGGACTAAAGAGTATTCTGAAAAGACACAAACTCCTATTTCTCTAATTTGAACCCCTCTTTTTTACTGAAAATCATATAGACTTTAGAGAATGATTGTTTTTGGAAATGTTGATGCATCGAAATCATAATTGTAATGAGTATTTTCTGAGTCACTAAAATGTTCATACTTAGGAAGGATAATAAGATAAAAGATTATCCTTAAGTGGTACAAAAAATTTCAATAATTGGAAAAATGGTCCAAAAAGTGTGTTTAAAAACTCCAAAAATATTAATTTTAATGTATGCATGATTTAAGCATGCAAATAGGATGAGCACGCTTAAAAAACCATCCTGCATAAAACATTATTATTTAACTCCAAAAAAATGGCCTCGAGTTATTGTTACCAGTTTGTGATTTACAGAATGATGATAATATTTTTCCAGGTACACAGTAATAGAGCGACAAGGTATAAAAGAACAATAATATTATTTTAATTACATTTTTTCGATTAAACTGTACAAATATTTTAATACTAAATAATATTTATCTTATACACAAAAAAAAAAAAACATTAGTTACATAGTATAAAAATAAACATAATAATACAATAATACATAATAATAATATTATAAAACATAATTACACTTAAATATAATTTATGATTTAAACAGAATTTCACTAAACTCTATAATAATAATAATAGTCTAATGCTACTCAAAATTGTTTTTTTGACCTCTTTGTATTTGGCACCAGCCTCACTTTTCGGAAATTATTTTCTATCGGGAAAAAGCAATTAATCACGACCGGCATCCAGATTTGTTATTTAACACCGAGAAAAAAAACGGCTAGGGCCAAGAGGAAAGTGAATGAAGCTGCAGCAGAGGGAGAAAAGATACACCGCAAACTTTTGGCTGACTTTCAAAGTTTGATTCCGGTCGGGTGATAAATGAACGGGCGAGCGTATAGACACAATCATGCGCGTAAGACTACGGTTGTTACTACGGTGGAAAATCGTTTATGACGTGCCTTTAATAATAATGGTAATAATTGTGAATGGTTTTCCTCTGTTTATGTAATACAAAAGTAGCAATATTTTTTATTATAATATTACAATGAGCCATATTATTAGGTTAGCTTAACCTATACCAAATGCGCAAAATATCACTGGAGATAATCGTCGAGGACAAACGAGCAGGAGCGCTGGTAAATTAATACTCGAAGGGACCAATTTTTATTTTCGGATCTATCCTGTATTTCGACCAGAACTCGGAGTTGATTAAATATATTATTTATTGATTATAATATTCTCTAGGAGTTATCAGGTTTTTTTAGAGAAAATTAAACAAAACAAGACAGTTACAAGCATGTTATATTTCCAATAAGGGTTTGTCTGGTTCTCGTGAAAACACAATGGTCATATTTTTATCAAATATTATCTAAACGGATATTCGATGAAAATTGGTTTGCCTCTTTTTGTTCGCGGACCCCTTTAATTCAACGAGGGAATTCTGAAATCCACGGTAAGTGGTTGTCGAATGACTGCAAGTAGTGATGTTCCTTCCTCGAGATTTATATTATTTTTGTCTTTTTCCATCACTACAGTTTCTGTCGCGCAAATGGTATCGCAACGAACGTCCCGACTGTACGTAAAAGAGGCGAAAGATAGAAGAAATAAAAACAATCGTAACGAGACGGAAGACAAAACCAAACAATTCACACTCGAAATATTTTCATGGCGTGTATCGAGATTCGGTAGCGTCTCCTTACCGTTACAGTAACAATAGACTATAAGAGTGAAAAAAAGTATAATAATATTATGTACAACGCGATACGCATGATGATAATAATAATAATAATAATAATAATAATAAAAATAATAATAATAATTATTAATGCTCCCACCGGACGATTTCACGACATTTGAGCGATTGTTGGAAACGAAAAAAAAATAATAATAATAATGTAGTTATGTACAAGTCACGACGATCGGTCATAGTCCGGATGTCCGGTCGCTGTTCTCCGGGTAATAATATACAATGGCACGCGGGCGACGGCTGGGTGCGATCTAACCCAGGAACGGGTAACCGCCGTACGGTATAAAGTTGGGGAACTGGGCGACGGTTGGCTGGACGGCCACGGACTGGGTCACGTACGACGTGACCTGGGTGGGCACCACTGAGCTGGAGTAGATGGTGGTGTACGCGGTCTTGGCGCCGAAAGTGAGCTTCAGCACCTTGCTGTCGGTCTGCGTGACCATCGACTGGGTTATGACGGGTGTGGACGTGATGGCGAACGACGGCTGGGCCGGGAACAGCGTTGGCTGTACCGGGAACTGTTGCTGCTGTTGCTGTTGCTGCTGTTGCTGGAGCTGCTGCGGGAACAAGGGAGTTTGCTGGAATTGGAACAGTGGTGTGGGCTGGAGCTGAGGTGGCTGGAACGGCATGGACTGTGGTTGCGGTATGGCCAGCGTGGTGGTGACCAGCTCGTAATCGGTTCTGGTTACCGTGCCCACGGGTCGGGAAAGGGTGGTGTAGTAAGTGGCGCCGCCGTTGACCACGGGCAGGGCGTGCGTCTCGAACACAGTCTCGTACCGCAATACTGGTCGAGAGGTGGTGATGACCGGTGCTGGTATCGGGGCGTTCGGGTTCAGTAACCGGTACAGGGCCAACTGCTGGAGTTGTTCAGGGCTCATGGTGGGTGCTTGTGGCTGCTGTTGGTATTGATGCGACGGGTGTTCGGCGGACGTCGAATTGCCTGACGCCGACGCCATCCGGTGAGCTTTCTTCGACCGCGGACCGTTGACCTTGTCCATCTGTGATAGGTCAAACGACGATCCCACGTTGGACAGGTCCAGGCTGTCCAGGAACGCCTTAGCCGCACTCGGGTGCGAGGATTCGTCGTCGTGGTTTCCGTTGTCACCGTACTCAAGTTCCAGGTGCAGCTCTGACCCGGCCTCGTCCAGTCTGGTATTGAACTCGTTGAGCGTCTTGCTGGGCACGAACTGGTACACCTCCATCGGTGGCAGCGTCTTGACCGCGGTAACCAGTCTGGTCACCTTGTACGACTGTACCAGTGTCACGCTGCTAGTGTCCGTTCCCCTGACCACCGGCAGGATGTGAGTCTTGAGCATCAGCTCAGTGGTGCTGAAGCTCTCGGTCATCGTCTCCAGCGGTGGTGTGGCTTGATCTGGTGACAGGGAGATTGGAGGTAGAGTGGCCAGGCTGGAGTCTAGTGGCTGCTCACGGCCGTACAGGTTGGGCGCCTGGCTGGCCAGTATGTTCTCGGACAGTGGTTCTACTCTGGTCGGTGACGGGCTGTCGGTCTGCTCCACCAGGCTCTTCTGGATCGTCGACGTAACCGTTATGAACCTGGTATTTTTCACTGAACCAACCTGAGAGACAAGGAAATATCATAAGCATTAAGACAACTGCGTGTAATTATGTTATAATTTTATTATCAAATGTATTATCATTGACTGTCTGAGGTAATTTTGGTTAAGAAATTACATTTCAACTGCGGTATTTCGGCAAAAGTGTTATAAAGTCGCATCTTGTACCTATTCAGATTTTATTACTGATGTTATTTTTTAATGATTTATAGTGTATTAGTTTGAGTATTTTAATTTTTTAATATTTTTTAATTTTAATAATCGTATATTACTTTCGCAATGTACTAAGCTTAATATTATTGTGGAATTTCGACTAATTTACATAGAAGCTACGTTGTCTCGATTCCTTTTTTTTTAGTTACTGAATTTTTCACTTTGAGATATTTAAATAAAATAATTGAGAAACATAGATTTATATATTTTTAGCGTAAAAATAGTTTTAATTTCTATAATCATATTTTCTATTATCTCTCGTTCTCCATAATATGCAAGTTAGTAAATATAAGATAACCTAGGTATACCTATATGTTGGTCAAATATAAAAATGTCATGAGATTCTACAAAATGAAAATATTTTACTTGGAATGAGTACGGTGATTTGATTGTGGCAATTTCGTAGTAAATGTCCTTGAATTCAGCTGGAGTAGAGATTTCCACTCGGATAGTTTCAGCATTTGCAGTCGGGCTCACGTCCTGAACAAGAACATCGTTGTCATCGTCGTGTTGTAAGGCTGGTAATAAACCTGAACCAGCCAATGCTTGGTCTCCGTTGTCAACTTGTACATCGGGGAAATGTGGTGTCAATGGCGTGGTAGCATTTTCCTGTCCATGTCGGTTTTCATCGATACGGCGAATGGTTACACGAGGTTTGGGAGATGTCTTGTACTCCCAACGTCCAGTTGGTCGGATGAGTTTGGATTTGAATGTTAATGGAGCTGTCGGAATGGGTTGTGGGCTGGACTGGGGAGATTGTTGTTGTTCTTGTTGCTGAAAGTGTTTTTTGAAAGCCCGACGGTTAGCTGGAGTCACTACAGCTGCACTGGTGTTACTGTCGTAACGCTTGGCACTAGGCTGGAACCTTCTTTGAGTAGCGGATCCTTCAGTCGACTCCACTTCTGGCTCAGCGGTGGTCGGTCTATTAAATCGGTTTTGTTTAAAACTCGGAACTCTCTGTGTTGTAGTAGTAATTTTTGATGTGAATTTAGATCCTTTCCTGTAACTTGGAGTAGTAGGTTCATTTTGAGCAGAGGTGAATTCGTTTTGTTCTTCGTCGGTAGTCGAATAATCTTCAAATTCTTTTGATTTACTTTTCGGTGTGGGCGTGTACTTGTTTTTATTGAAACCTCCACCAATAGCCGGCCTCCTGGATTGTCGAACCAAGACCGAACCTGGCTGTGAGCCCACTAACGACTCTAGTGATTCATCGTCCAATCCAGATGTGGCTGGTGTAGGTTCAACATTTGGTGATCTGGTTGAGGCCTTTGGTGCAGCTGTTTTTAGGATTCGGACACCAGATGCAGATGGTGATACTTTTACGGCTACTTTTTTCGGTGCTTTATTTGTCGTGGGCTCTTCTTCTCCGTTAAAGTTTGCAACTGAGTTGAAGGCTCGGAGTTTTCCATCAGGGCCACGACTTTTCTGAACTAGAACGTGTCTTGATGCACTAGGTTTCAAATCAATTACTTTGAATGTCTCATCCACAACTTCTGAAGGTTGTCGTGAAAGGAAATCATATTCTGGTGTTGGTTGTAAATGATTTACTGCCACCTCTTCGACTGGTTCACCAGAAATAACTTCTACTTTACTGTAAATCACTTTTTCCACCACTTTCGATGGCTCCGGTGCACTTCCCTCAATAACTTCTACTTTGGTTACAATATTATCCACGACTTTAGAACCCGCCATAACTACAACCTTTGAGCTTACCACTGGTTCTTTATTTGCGTTTCCAACTGGTTTTGGTTTTTGAGGTGATGGTGTAGTAGATTTAGCAATAGTTTTTTTTGTTGTCACTGGTGCACCTGTTGATTTTTTTTCTTGTTCAGATTTTTTCGCTACGTTTTTCGTAGTTGGTGGTTCTTTCGTAGTAGTGGTCGTCGGTTCGGTAATAGTGGTTTCTTTTGTGGTGATTATAGGCTCACTTGAAATCATAACTATTTCTTCATTTTGTGAATCGATTGGTAAGTTAACTGGTTTACTGGGAGTGATTCCAATGGACTCTGTTTCCCGCTGTTCTTTTGTAATAGGTTTTTCCTCAATAGTGGTAGTTTTACCTTCTGTGGTCGTTGGTTCTTCAGCAGTAGTAGTACCTAATAAACATTATTTATTTTATTTTTATACAGTTATCTTTATTTAAGTTGTTTTTTTTTTTTTTGCAGTAAAGTATGTACCTGGTGAAGTGGATGCACTTTGTGGCATGAAAACCATAACAGTGTTACCAATCGTTGTAGTAAAGTCCAAAAATCCATATACTGTTTGCGTGATTTGAGAATCTGGCGAAACTACCTGGGAAGCGACAAGTTCTGGTTTTTCGTAAACCAAATCTGGATTGACATATACGGGCCCTGGTGATGAATCGCCATTGACTAATCCAAAAACTGAAACTAAAAATATATAATAAATTAAACATCGTTTTGAGTATTTACTGTTAACATATTTAATGCTTAGTGTAAATTTGTATAGGACAATCCGTCTGCCTATGGAAAACATGACTTTTTTGTTCATAGCAAACTAACAAATTATTTTCAAGCTCGTAAGTTGATACAATTTAAGTTAGAACAAAACACAAAACAGTTATATGTATAAACTCACTATATATATTTAATCGTTTGTTATTTCAGAGAAATGCTAGTTTCAAATGGGACCGTATATTACAAAAAGGGGGTCGATCTGTATAGTGGACGATGTGAGAAATTGATAGTAGCAGAGTCCAGAGGAGAGGTCGTAAAATTATTACTGATGACAGATAAACGCTTGGTGAATAAACAAAATACCGTTTATTTGTGGATTCCAATAACATAGGACACTATGCACTATTGCGTTCGAACAATAGATGGTCATTAGCTCGATATACACGTTATGCATGTATATAATATATACATAATATACGTTTGTGTGAGTGTGTTTGTATTTGTGTGCGTAATTTGTGTACGCATGTGTCAGCGTATGGTACGCGACCATGGGGATTTATTATTGTTACACGTTGACAAGGGTGATAATAATGTAATGTAATCATGAAATTTACGGTTTGCGGACTGAGCGGAAGAATCCGTCCTTTTCACTCGCACCAACACGCTTCTACAACTCTTAATAGGTGTATTATTATAATATGTGTGCCTGGGACGTTAGATTATGTATTTTATTATAATATATTATGTTAACAGCTTATATAAAGATAAAAAATTAAATACAAAACGCAATCTCAACAATCGATTTGTTTTGATAGAAAATTAACCCTAACCTCAAGGATCCTTACAGGAAACCAAATAATCCAAAGGAAAATAATTCTTTTTATCGATGTTTGCAATAATATACATATATAAAAGTCATCAAACTTTAAAATGTATACTTTTATAATAGGTTTTGATTGAACTTACTATTTAAGAGCATAAATTTAAGTAAAACAAAGTGAGAGTAGATAAATATAATAAGAAATGATAATTAGTATATTATAATCATAAAATTGAGTTCTGCAATTTCTCATACGTCAGTGCCAAACATTAAAATAGGAGATAATATCTTAGGTGAAAAACATGTGCTCATAATTTCTAAAATGACTAGAATAAATTAAAATTGTATAATAAATCAATTTCACATTGATGTGTTTAATAACCAGGGCAACGCCATTATTGAATAATTGTGATTTATTATCATGTATACGAATATATAATAATGAATATGTAAATTGAAGTCGATGTACCTACATAGAAAATAATGTAGTTTCTAAGTCATTAAAATGTACAAATTATGATAAAGCATAATAGGTATCATATTATAACACTCGTTCGGTACAAAATTTAGTATTATGCAATCTTAGTACCTATAAAAAATAATTGCTCCAGAGGAAATTTCAAGGCACCTAAGGAGACTACTGGTCAGTAAAATGTGATTATTTCAAAAAAAATATGTATACTATCTTTTCTTATGTCAAAAAAATAAAAAGGCTCTATGTAAATGAGCTGTTTTTTTACATTACAGTTTGTGTGCAAATAAGTCTGTAGTATTTAACTTCTCCGAGAATTTTAAGATCGACAATAGTATCTTTAAGATGAAAAAAAATTTATAACTTGGCTATTTTATTCGTTTATTTTCTATACCAGTAAATTGTATTAACATTTTCTTCAGTTCTTTATCAGCCATCGGAGTGTTCTAAAACGTATTGACGTGCAGGAGATTTCTAGTGGAAAAATCAAATCCCACCAACTTATCAGCTGATGTATTACAGTAGACCGATATCACAGTCGTCGATATTCGTAATAATGTGTTTTTATTTTTCGTAAATTCGTTTCGAGTTCAGTAGACCGTACGGGTGCCCGAACAGACCCGACGTGTGCACTTTGAGATCACGATCTCGCCCGCGGTTCATGGTCCCGTGAGATAACGTCCTCCGAACTGTGTCAATGCCCAATATTGTGCTTTTCCCATTCCCGGGCTGGCTAGGCAGCTCTCGAACTCGATCATACCGGGATTCGATTAACGTGTGATACATCGATGATAATACAACTAGGTAAGTAGGTAATAATAACACAATGTTTGTATTTTTGGCCCAAGTGATTTCGTTTCTTGTACGCGATAATTATTATTTTCCAATCGAAATCGCGAGGGAGTCGAATCGTGGATTTTTTACGACTTCGTATTAAGATTTAGTATTAGTCTTTCGTCGATAACAGATTCGTTAAGCTTTGAACAGGTTTCCTGTCTAGTTCTACGATAAGTGGACAAATTATTATTATGAACGATCGGGTACGGTGTGAGTTACCGCGGTTATTGTAAGTACACCGTTACGATAAATGATGGTGCTTACGAATAACCATTAAAAGTTTTTCCATTCGATGTATGTCGATGTATTATATTATAATGTACGCCCGTTGGGGTATGGAAAATAAGATAAGTTAACGATCAAATGTATAATCGAAAAAAAATATGGAAAACCAGAAACTATTTTCAGACGTGCACTGTGCACATTGTGCAGACGAACACAAACTGTTCAAATCTAAAAGTTTATTTTAGTCTTTTTGAATAACATAATAATTGTAATGATATATGTATATAATATATTTTATTACACGAACTATGTTATGGTTGAAAAAAAAAGGAAAACTCTTTGCCCGAGTACAGACCATTATTATCACAAACGATTCATTTATAAAATAAAATTTATTGAACATTATAATATTTACTATCTATAGAATGGGGGTTTTCGATTTAAAATGATCATTTCGACGTGTTCACTAGGTCGTTAAAAGTTCGGTCATATTACTGACACCTATATAATTCGAATCGGTTCAAAGCTTGTCGGTTGAATATTTATGTATTTATTTTTTGACTAGCTTGACGGTCGGAATCGGAAAAAAAAAGTTTTATGACACCAAACGACAAAATACTAGGAACGTTGCCAACAGTACCACAAAAGTTGTCCACGTGATACAACAGACCGCTGTGTTTCTACGGCGCAACGAACGACATGTGAACAACCTTATTGTTATGCGGGAAAAAAATCCAACAGTTGATGACAACATTTCGCCCTCGTTTCGAAACTTTCCGCACAAACCGTGATAAACTCTCCGCCAGTTTTCCAACAGTCCGTCGGAATCGACGCACATACTATGTTATAATTTATTTACGGTTTGGATATTTTACTCATCCGTCTGCTCTTGTAAAGTTGTGACCAAGTATAGTGATTACTGATTAGGCATATCAAATTATTTCACAATATTTTGTTGTTCCTGAGTGTCAATCGAAGCGAACGGACCGTAAAATCGATACGATTTCGTGAGACCGAGCGCGTAGTGTATAATTTAATTTGTTGTTTATTTAGTTCAACAAACACAAACGTTCGGAAAGTTTTACAACTACTACTTGACAATGGACAGAAGGGCATAATATGTCAAGTTGTCTCGAAAGACATTGAATCTTCTAAACTATCGTCTCGAGTTAATTTGTTTTTTTTTTTTAATAACTACCAGCTGTGTTTCCATAATATGGCGACAATTATTAAGAAAATTATTTCAATAACTAAAATCTCACGATATTATTAAAGTTGTCTCAACAGATGGCACAAAAAATAACATCGAATTGAAATAAAAACTAAAGAGAAAAACAACGGCGAAAACCAGTTTTAGTTTTAATCGAAAAATAGATACATAAAATAATATTATGAACACAGGTACCTATATCATTTATCAAAAACCACCAACGTTATAAGACCATTTTTTTTCCATATTAATGTCAATGTTGATTTCTCTTATTAGAATATATAAATTTTAATTTTATTAAAATATTCCGTTTTCGTAAACATTTGATCGGAAAGTGTTCATAAAAAATGTAACAATATTACGTTGTTGCGTTCAAGAAAACAATAGTAAAGAAAATTCCGAAAAATTACACGAATTACATCTTTGGAAGAAAAAAAGAATTTAATTTTCATCCCGCATAAGAAATATATGCACGTTTTCAGATTAATGGAAAAAGTTCTCAAACCACTCTGATATTAGAATATTTTGCACTTAAAAATAAAAATAAACCCACCGCACCTAGGACACAAAGGCCCGAGCAAAATATATAAAATAACGATTTTTGTTTTCTGAGTACATAAAATTAATTTAGCATCAGGTGGGCGTTGCAATTAACTTCACTGAAAACATGTAAAACACATTAAAACTTCATCAACTTTGGTAGTGTAAAATGAACTTCTAATAATTTAATCAGTAGAGGTAGGTGTATGATATTAGGTACCTACACATTATAATAAAATATGCCAAAAAACACCGATAAAACAAAGTGCACAATATTTTGTGTTGTATGACATCGACCACGACGCGTTTTTGTACACATGTCGTTGCACAGTTTGGATGGAAATTTAGAATCATGATATTTGGTGAATTTTAAATATGCGATCAATTCGTCGGCAAAATAGGTATCTACTATCTATAGTGTACAATAATTTATAACGAACAATATCGACCACAGTGTGGTTTTGTACAAAGATCGTTATTTAAATCAGACGGCGGCAGTATAGGTATAGCAAAGGAAAAGGAGAAAAATCGTGGCAATCATGCGGCTGCTCCGAATTCTCGAAAACTCCCACACTGAGGTTAGACATGAAAAAAAAAATTAATACAAAACATCGTGTCGGAGCGTAATTGTTTCGGCGTCTAATAAGTGAACTGCAGATTGGATAGGATTGTAATAGAATATTATTATCATAATATAGGAACAGTGTGAACAACGATAATAATGTTGATAATCGCATTAATACATAGGTACCTACGCTTTCCGCGACCGTGAACCGGAATCGTTTTCCCTGACCTGAATCATATCTTTATAATTATTTAACACAATATGCTCCAGAGTGTATTACGACCACGTAAGAACAAGGTGATAA